TAGACTGAAGAACAAAATGACAGCAACTTGTCTGGTCCCCTGTCCCCAGTTTCCCAGCACTGTTCCCATCCCCCAATTAAAAAAAAATCTTAAAAAAAAATATTTTCTGTACCAATTCAAGACTAAAACATGAGCTTAGCCCTGGCCTAGTTTCTTTCAAAATGAAAAAGGGGGGTGACCGGTTAGCTCAGCTGGTTACAGTGTGGTGCTGGTAACACCAAGGTTGCCGGATGGATCCCCGCATGGGCCACTGTGAGCTGCACCTTCCCTAAGAGAATCAACTATGCCATAGCAGAATGACAGCAATGTAACCAATGACCACAGCAGTTCCCCAAAAATATATATATTAAATACAAAATGAATAAATATTTAAATTCTGGGATACAGAAAACTTGTGGAGTAAGACATTTCTATCTTTATAAGTAACTATTTGTACAGTGAAAAGTTCCTGCCTGACTCCTAGGCTTTGTCTATTAAGAGTTCTTCATTGTGCAATTTATAGAAGACAGCAGCTCCTATTACCTTAAAGGAGCCCTGTTTAGTTCAAAATCAGCTTGTCCCAGACACTATGCTCCCTGGAAAGCCCTCGCACTGATGTACTAACCCAAGTAGATGCAAAAAAAGACTCGTCTAAAGGAGAGCTAATTAGCTTTACAAATAAAGTCTGGAACCAAGGAAATACATTGCTACTCCTCAACCCAAAAAACGCACGTAATGAAAACATTACCGAGCCCGCTATGAAAAGGCAGCAGCTGGAAAGCCAAGCCGTTCTACATCATGCGCAAAGTGTCCAATGTCCTGTGAATCAGCTATCAGAAGACGAAATCCCTTCAATGAAATGCAGGCTTCTGAGTTAGCTTTGCTTCCTCGTTGGGGGCCAGACAACACAGAATAATGAAGAATTCCTTACAGCTATGCTTTCTCCGAATTGCCTCATTCCACCTTTAAGAGAAGGTGCCCATGTGACAAGATGCCTTACGGACCTACCAATCGAAATTTCTAACGTCTTCTACTTGGGTAAGTTCAAGCACTTGACCACTAGGAGCTTCAGTCAAAGGAAAACTACATGCTAATGCTAACATGTTAGCTTGCATATTCAGAGCGAGGGCGTGAGTTTAAAAGTAGTGTCACTGAGATGCTACTCAGTGTGGCAGAAAGGCGACTTATACAGAATGATTGCACTCTTTAAATGTCTTCTGCTTTTTTTTTCATAGCAAAACGTGCAGAATTTTCTATGATCAAAGTCTGAATACTAGTTAATGCATGTTTTCTCCTCCCACAACTGTGAACCCCCCTACTAACCTATGCCATTGCCTTAAGAAATAAAAGGAAATGGACACAGATTATCCGTTATTTCTTCTAGTGACAGGCATACTCTAATAGTCATAAGGCAATGTATTTAAGAGCTGCACCTGAACCAGTATTCTGAAAAATGGAAATCATTATCAACTCCATAGTTATTCAACTTGCAGGATTTATCGATGTGCTTCTCGAGTCATCGGTTGTCACCCAAATGGACCGCAGTGACCCCCCCATCATGTCTTAACAAGGAATTAAACTGTGTGTAGTATGCCCATGTATTTTACAGAAATAACATTAAGAGGGAAAGGACAGCCTTTCAAATACCAGTCCCTTACACAAGTGGTGACAGCTTTCTGGCTCCCTTGTAACCCCCTCACTTGGCCAGATACCAAGTACCTCCAAGACAGACAAGAGGCAAAGCTCCACAGTGAACTGCACTGTTCAGGTGACCTTTCAGTTCATTGGTTTTGAATTTCCATTTCCTGATTTACTTAGGAGTGAAGGTGAGAATCATCCAACTGATGACAAAATAAAACAAAAAAACAGGATAGACGGCAAGGGCTTTGCGGTTTGGAGGTTGGCTGTCAGCAAGGAAAGCTGTAGAGGCTGAACAAAACAAAACGAGAGAAAACAGAAGGTTGAATACAAGGAGATCGTTGTACCTGCTAACACTCACTAGCTGTCGTGTGCTCGCCATGTCTGGAGTAGAATTATTCTAGTAGCTCCTGCGTTATCTGTGAGCCCTGGAGAAGAAGCCATGCTGCGGGACAGCTTTCCAGACAGCAGAGGGTTTACTTTCCGAATAGCCATGGGCCTAGATACTGGATAACTAAGCTCTTTAGAACCGCATGTATGGTACATGATCAGACTCTAAGTGAAGAGATGAGGGGCTCTTCCAGGGGCCAAGCGCCCGTGCTTAATAGACTGTCCTTGGAACATCAGTCCTGGCACTCCCAGACCTTTCTGTGGACTGTTTCTCAGCTTTTAATCATGTTCCAAGCAAAGAGATGTTCCTGCACTGAAAATATTAGGCGGTCTGTTTATTCCATTAAATAAGAAGCCAGTGAACGTTTCTAGTTTAAGCAGGGTTGTAAGAGGATTTTAGGAATGTAAAAACAACGAGCACACAGCATTCATTACCTCTGCTATAGGCTCTTCCTAATCTTCAGCAGAATTTTCTAGTGAAGCAGGAGAGGACTATATGATACTTAACAGACTATACTGGGGCGTAGTACAGTACAATTCTCAACGGGTATGTGATCTGCTTGGCTTTGAAACTCGATGCCCCCACTCACTGGTTACATGTCCTAAGGCAAGCTGCTAAACTTCTCTGTGTCTGTTCCTCATCTATAAAAGTGGGACTAATAATAGTAGCTGTCACGGTTGTTGTGAGGGTTAAATGAGATAATACACAGAATGCTCTTACAGTAGTGCTTAGCCTATAATAAGCAATCTGTAAATTCTAGCTATTATTTTTATGATGATTAACTTGTCAGGAAAAGCCCCCGTCATCTCTCAAGTCACCTATGCCTCATATATATATATATGGCAGGACTAAGACAGGTATAGTGGAATCTCCTTTTCCAATGCTATGCATTATTTAAGGCTTTTTTTTAAAAAAAAATGCTGACTCTCCACATCTTAGGAGTGCAGATACCCAACTCAGCTAAGAAGCACATCATCTATCAATGCCACGTAGGGCCCTATGGACGACACTGGCAAGAATCATGTCACTCAATGTGACTCACGAGTCACACTGGTCCGCATCTGGGCTTTCTCTCTAGTACACTCTTCTGTCTGTTCTGCTCTTGTAGAGATAAGTACATTCTTACCTATTACAGACCAGGCAAACATCACGATCACCACAAAAAGCCGGACCATGAAGTTTATCGGTCCTGAATCAGCCAAGAGCACCAGCCGGCAAACCATCATTGCCACTGTCAAGGGGAGTATACAGTAACCCAGCACACAGAGACTCTGAAAAAAAGATCTAAAGAACAACACACATCCATAAAAATCACAAACAGAGCTGATTTGTATCGGGATACCATTTATTACACAGATTTCTACGTATCATGGATTGTTACCTCCCTCCAGATACATAATAATCCCTATATCCTAACGGGGTTTTATAACAGGCCTCTCTAGCAAGATATGTTTTCATTTTTCTCTCCATCTTCTCCCTTCTCCTTTCAAGCTCCTTAAGAATAAACCATCTAGGACATCAGATGATCTACTCTAATCCCTGGAGACCTCCTTCTCCCACTGAACCTCTAAGATGGCAGCTCTCAATCTTTTCTAGTTGACAGACCTATTTAAAAATTTGTTGAAAGCTTTGGACCATGGTTTCCCCAAAATGGACATAATCTTCTAACAAGAAAAATTCTGCCTGTGATGTTAGGGCTAGAGAGAACACCTGAAGCTTAGGAAAGGGCCCCAGATGATGTAGATTCATTCTAGGGTAACTTAATAACTAGATCATCTCTGCTCAGGGCTTTTAACAGAACGTACTCTTTGGCCCTCAAGTATTTTGATTTTTCTTTAAAAAAAAAAAAACCTAACTAGCCAGATTCCCTTAAAAATCTAAGATATGCTACTACCTACCAAAGGAAAAAGGATGGGTTTTAATAATACTCACATGTTTCCTCCAAGAAGTTTTGAGTTCAGGGTGATGGTAACTGCACCAAACCAGATAATGACAAACACTTCTGCAAACTGGGGCCCTCCATCTTTTTCATTATCTGCGGAGCCTTGCTGAAGCATTCTGCGACAAGGAAATGGCATGAGAATCGTCTAATCTTTTACTTAGAGCAATCATGTTAAAGCAGGGGTTCTCAAACTTTGAATCAGGGAGTCACCTTATACCTCACCTGAGTATCTGTAATACATAGGCTGTGTGAAAGGAAAATGCCATAAGTATTTGGCAAGGCTCCCTTATTTCAAATTGCAAATACCTTAGGACTACAAGGGGAGCTCTATCTGGCCTTGTTGGAATGTTCAAATGGATCGCTGAAGACCTTTTTTGGTTAAGCAGAGGTTATAAACTGAAAGGCCAAATGTAGCTCACAGACATAAAGTTGTAGGCCATAAAATACTTCAAATGGTTTTAAATACAAGTTGACATTATGTTAAAATTGAGTAGTTTCACCTAAAAACAACGTATTCGTGGATTTTCTTGGAAAATCAAAGGAGTTTCTAACACCGGGCCTGCATGCCTCCATGACAACAATCAGGTGCACTTGACCTAGCAGCCGGTTCCTTCACGAGGGTCTTCTGATCACCAATTCATGATGCATGCATTTAGGTTCCATCCCTAACCCTCAGACACATCTGAATTTGTAATCCTTGGGCTAAGGTTTTAGTTCTTACATATATAGTTCAGTCTATAAAACTGTTTAGTTGTTGAGTTTTAAAAAATCAAAACATACAGAATATTACTAAGACTTTACTTTCAAATTGAGGAGTTGAACAGTCACTTAGATGTCTTCTCTTTGAGAATTTACAGATGTAAACTGTCTTGAATTTTGGACTGAGACCACCTGGACTAGGCGTTATTTTTTCAGAACAATAGTAAGGAACATCAAGCTCCCAACCTTCTTATGACACAGTATAGAGAAGTCACACAGCAAAGCCCGCCCTGCTGTGCAGCTTGCCAGCGTTTGGTCTTCTATGCTGGGTGTACTCCACTCCGAGTCCTGATAACCTGATGCAAAGGATGCCAGCATTCATCACCACTTGTTGTTTGGGACCCCTACGGCTTCAGCACGGTATTCTGGAAAGAACATTAATTAACTGGCCTGGAAGACAGGGGACCCAGACAGTGATCACAGTACCCTCACTACATGTGCAAAATGGAGTTCATCACTCGATGTCTGGGGACTCCAGTTCTCTTCTCTATAAGTAAGTGGCATTAAATTACATAATCTACAGAGTTATGCTTTCAAAACTAAAAATGTATCTGCTTAGAGCTTCTAATACAAACCATTCCATCAAGGCACTGGACTATTTCCTGGTTATGGCTGTTAAAGGCATAAGAAATTAGCACTGTATGCTATTACCTAAATTAGCATATGCTTGACTTACATGAAAAAATATAAGGAACTTATTGAATTCAGAATCACAAAAGGTTAGACCTGGAAAGGGTGCTCAACCATCTCCTTGTATAGATACAGAGGGGGAGGCCCAGAGAGGTTAGGTGTGACGAGATGTGTAACAATCACAGAGGCAGAGAAGGGGCAGTCAGGGAAACCTGAGGCTCAATCCCAGGTCTGCCAGTAATTATGTGATCTTGGTTCAGCCTCCATCTCTATGAACCTGAGCCTGTTTATCAAAAAAGGAGAATGGCATTCACTTCTTGTTAGAAGGATAGAGAAGGTATTTAACACATTGAGGACAGGGCATTTAAATGTACAGACACAAATCTGCGTCACCGGTCCACAATGTGTTAAAAGTTTTCTATAAACTGGGAAGAATCATTATACAAATTGTCTTTGTTAATACCCAGAGTCACTCTGCTGACAGCATCACGATAAGCCAGCAGTATTGTTGCCACGCTACCAATGGTTACATCCCCGTCTCCGAGGAACTTTGCTCCCCAACTTCTGTCCTCTTCCTCTACACACAATGCAGATGGAAAGCATAACAGTCTGAAACACGATCTTGCTTTCAACTTTACCACTTCTAACCTCTCCAGCTTATTCTCACTCATATTTTTACTAAGATTTAAAAGCAACTGTTTGCAAACAGTGCTTAACCCTATAGATATTTATTGGGTTGTCGAAAAAGTCATGACGTAGTTTTGTGCCAAAAAAGAAAAAGTATGTCATGACTTTTCCAACAATCCAATAATTCACTTAGTTTAATGGTAGGGGAAGTGCATGCGAGTTCATAAATATTTGTTGACTAGAAATGGCTAAAAGAGGCTAAGAAAGTCATTGGTAAACAGAGGTGGGCATGATTTTGACATCTTTAATTTTATCAGTCTTTGAAGTGATCTGGAAGCCACTTTTTAGATTTAAATTCATAAGGAGTGCAATTATGTCCTAGAAGTCCCACATAACATATTCATTCAAAATTTCCCTTCATTTTGAAACTCCACAAAAAAATTCTATTCTATCTCAAATGACAAAGAAAAGAAATATATGTACTTACAATGCGAGTGTCACACAAAGGATCAAGGGGCCCCACAAATCCCCTACAAGGCAAGCAAAGGCAGAAGACTGTTAGGGAAGAACCATGCAGTGTTTTCTAACTTTATTCCAACTTCCGCCTCTCCTACTCTGGGAATCCACACATCACGTCTCTCTGTCTGCCCAAGCCTTCCTACCTCTCCTACCCCTACAGTTGCCCTCCCTGCTCCCCACTTCTGAGTGTCCTTCACACATCCTTCAAGTTTTGTTCACTTCATATCCCACAAATCACCTCTCCCCACCTTCTAGCCACATTCCAGCATGCTCTAGTTAAAGAACAATGGATGAGGAGTCAAAAAACTTACCGTATTTGCCGGCGTATAAGACGACTCGGCATATAAGACGACCCCCTAACATTTCCACTCAAAATACAGAGTTTGTTATATGGTCGGCTGTGTGCGATTTTGCGAGTGTGGTAAAATCGCATAACAGCAAAATCGCATAACAGCCGAGCATACACCCAGCAGCGCTGCTGATGCCTGAACGGTATGTGGAATGAAGTGGGCGGGCATCGGGAGGCCACTATGGCACGGGGCAAGCACTATGGGCAGTCTATCTGAAGTGTACCTGGCGTATAAGACGACCCCCCACTTGGAGGCATATTTTTCAGCGCCAAAAAATCGTATACGCCGGCAAATACGGTAGGTACCCCATCCTGCACCCTCAGGAAGAAGACTAGAGCCAAGTCACTTCACCAATCCGATGACATTAGACAAGGCAAATATAATCAAGCCCATCACTTGGATACGAAAAATGAAGCTGAGAAGGAAGTCACTTGCTCAAGTTTATATGAAGTTAGGTGGAGCTGGGGCCAGAACCAAGGTCCTCTGATTCCTACTCCAAAATTCCCCCCACTCTGCCACACTGCCTCCCTTTTATAATTATTACATTCAACTAGTATATAATCGCTATCCTTCCAGGTGAAAAATCATCCCAATATTGGCAATTTCATAAGGTTAAGCTTTAACAAAACAACATGAAATCTTTTTGATAACTACAAAAGGCTCCCCCAACATCAGATAAGCACGTGGTTATCAACAGTTCAGTAACATACAGCTTAGAGCACATTACCTTTCTCAACTAATATGAAAAGAGGTACAGGTGCCACTTCCAACTTCAACCTCATGGGTATGTACATAACTTTACATAACAGTAGTATGCACATAGTTACATTGTGTTCTAATTATATTAGCCATTTTGACTCCACTGTAGAAAGTTCGGGAAAGATGTAAAAAAAAATCATAATCCTATGACTGTAATAAAATTATTGTTATTCTTGTTAAATTTTAAACTTAGCAACAGAAAAACTGAATTCAAGTACAATTCACATTAATACACTGGCTTTAATGCACTGGATTTTTTTTTTCATTTTTAAAAAACCTGTACCAGTATTTAAAAACTCTTTTATTATTGTTGTAATATATATCTCACAAAATTCACCACTGTAGTCACTTTGAAGTATACAGAGACTGAGCACACTCGCTGTTGCACAAGCATCACCACCACCCATCTCCAGAACCTCTTAAGAAGTTTCCACCTTTTGGCTACTGTGAATAGTGCTGTTGTGAACATGAGCGTATAAACATCTGTTGGAGTCCCTGCTTTCACTTCTTTTGGGTACACACCCAGATGTGGAATTGCTGGCTCATATGGGAATTCTATGCTTAAATTTTTTGAGGAACCTCCATACTGTTTTCACAGAGTCTGCACCATTTTACATCCCACCAGTGATGTACAAGAGTTCCAATTTCTCCTAATCCTCGCCAACACTTATTATTTTCTGTTTCTTTGATAACAGCATCCTAATGGGTGTGAAGTGCTATCTCATTGTGTTGTGGGGTTTTTTATAGATTATTTTTTTAAATTGTTGAGATTTTTCCTTGCCATTCTGCCAAGTGCTGTGGCAGGGCAGAAGTGCAAATTCTGGCCATGACTTGCTCATCCTTTGTGCCAGCCTATCTACCTATCCCCCCAAGGCTTGCGAGTGGACCTTAACATCTGACATAAGCCGATATTCATCACTAGTCAGCAAACTAACACCTGGTTCTGCACTGTGAAAAGCAACCTGGCTTTGAACTGAACCGCAGCAGCACTTAAAAGGGTCTTCACGTCTGGAGTAGCAGCAGTAGACCAGAAAGGACACTGAACTTGAAAACTGGGTTCTAATCCTGCCCATGTGATTTTGACAAGACATTCAGCTTCTCTGAGACTCATTTTCTTCATCTGTGAAATACAAACAATAACTCCTACTTCACTAGGTTGCTGTCAAGATTTGAAAAGATAATGTGTGTCAGGGGGACAGGAAGGCATTAGAATAATAGCTGTCATTTATGGAGTGCCTACTAAGTGCCAGATTCGTGCAAGGTGGTTGGCGGGCATTATCATCTACTCCTCAGCAGCAGGTACACGTTGTTATCTCCACCTTCGCAGAGGAACAAACGTTGAGTCCCAGGAAAGTTAACTGTCTTATCCAAGATCACACAGCTAGTGGTGGAACCACTACTTCCACCTAGATTTGTCCATGTTCTTTCGAGTGAACAAGTCACCTGAGCTCCAACCCACAGTGTGCCATGTTGCAAGCAGCTGTGATGCAGCATGCAGTGTCCACCCGGAGTGACGGCACACTTGCCACGTCTGGCATCCCTATAACACAGCTGAAATGCTGCCAGAATAGAAGGTACGTTCACACACACCACCACCTTTTCCTTTTTTTTTTTTTCAAGCATTCTTAGTTTCCTTAGTGCCCCTTATCAGGAAAATCGAATCAGTTGCTTGAAAAGAAAAGGAAAAGGTCTAACAAGTGTAAGAATAAACTCTAAGTCAGAGCAGAATTTACTGCAAACACTGTTGATAGGACTCTTGAACAAAGAAAGCAGTCATCAGACTAAATGGTAGTTCTGAAACAGAAATGTCCATAAAGGCACTATTAATTTGTTAGTCCTTGATGAGTGTTTGCTATTACTCTAATTTCACCATTGAACATGTGCTATTCATTTATATATTTTTCCATTCTGAAAAACGTCAGTTTTATTACCATGGGTCCTTTTGCCTTATAAGGTACTTATGAAAAGGTTTGATGAAAAGTAGCAAATCTGAGATGCCTCCTATACTTACAGTCTCTCAGAAGAGTGTTACTCTTCCTTGGGTATAAAACATGCATGAATTTTTTCCCAACAGCTTTTAGATCACGCATCTGAAAGACATAAACAACTTGTTGTATTGTGATGACCAAGGTTGCCAGGCAGCCAGCCCCCTCACTTAATTTGCTAAAATTTCTTTTATTTCAATCTCCTGGGAGCCTTTTGTTGAATTTTAGAGCTCAAATTCCAGTTCAACTTCTTCACTATACAAATAATCCAGGGAAGCAGGGGTTTTTCCATTAATTCCTTTTTCTATTCACTTTTTCTATTAACCCCTTAAGCCAACATCTAGCTCTTTACCACTTCTACCAGTTCTGTTTTGATCTTTAAAACTCTGTAAAAAAGAAATATAGCCCTCCTAATATGTTATTGGGTCATCGGGAAAGTCATGACATATTTTCCTGTTTTTCAATGCAAAAATGTGTCATGACTTTCCCGACAACCCAATACTTATAGAAACTAAATAATAATAGCATTACTAAAATCTGCTCTGCAAAACATAGCATGACTTTCAGTTGATACATGACTATGACCCAAGGGCCAATTAGCGGGCTCTCCAGCTACCACATTCTTCACAATATAGAAAATAAATTAGTTTCCAACATTCCCACTTTAACTGGTAAATGAAACCCAGAAGTCAGATTAACTAGTAATCAAGACATTTGAGGAAGGGAACGGTAATATAAATGCAACCTCTCAAAATATAGTTAAGGTAATGCTGTCCTAATTTTTTCATCTAGAAAGTTCTTCATGTCATTCATAGTTTTTATAAACATGATTTTAATGGTTGTTTGGCATTCTATCACATAGGTGTAACATACTTTAATCGATATTCCGTTTTTCAACTTTCCCCTATTATAAAGAATGCTGTAATGAACATCTTTGCATATTACTGTTTTCTGTATTTTAAAAAATATTTTTGTATTTATGTTTTTCCCTTATACTATATCTGGAGAGGAGAATTGCAAGCCTAAAAAAGACTTGGACATTAAAAAATTCTTAATATCCATTATAACCAAATTGCTTTCCAAAAAGGGTGGCCCACATTATTCCCCAGGGGAGAATCTTAAATTTCAACAAATAGTTTATACTAAAAATCAGTGATCCAAATGAAAATATTACAAAGTGCTATTAGTTATTTAGTCTCCTGACTCTGAACAGGAATTCTCTCAGCTAGTCTAACTTACGATGGTACTGCGGACAGATTCATTTAACGTGGAGTTGTCAAATTCCCGAATACGAGATCTCATAGGAATGGTGATTTCTCCTTCCACAGGGATGTCCTGTGAGATGGATATATCCGAAAGGCCTGCAAACTGAGAAGAGTTAGAAAACAAATTAAAGTACTAAGCTGCAGCACTCCTCAAAGACATCATTTCCTAGAGATTATGGACTGTCTTTTTGTAAGGCATTACACAGTTTTTAAAGTAAAAGCTCACCAGACATTAAACCACACCATTAACTAAAATTCCTAAATGCTTATTTCTTTTAATTTAAAGAAGGAGATAGCATATGCTGGAAAAAATTATAATGTAAATGGCAGACACTTCTTGCCCTCAAATATTTGGTTTCTTCCACGCATGAAATCTTCACATGCCACAAGCTTGCGACACTGCAGGACTCGCTGCGACCTTTCAGCAATCAGCAGAGCACAGCCACGATTCTGTGGCACTCAGGCTCTAGAGTAGGCTCTAGTGGCCTCTGCTGGCTAAATGGGAGCATCGTGTGAAGCCTAAAGGGAACTGGGAAGAACTGGGCAATAGCAAAGTATACCCTGACCTACGTTCGTTTCCCCCAGTTCCCTGACCACCACAGGTCACGTAACATTTCCAAAAGTCAACTGCAAGACTGCAGACCCTGAAACGCATCCATTCACCTGCCAGATTTGATTATTATGACTGAAACTCTGGAATCTTCAAATTCCTAAGAAAACAGAAGCAATCCCTTTTCATATTGTTTTTGGCCCAACTGGAACAGTATGTAGTGGGCAACAGCTGTTGGTAAATGAAATATAAGACAGTATACTGAAACTTGCAAGAAAAATTAGGTCGTTCAAAGAACTTATAAAACACCACTTCTCAATCACACTCTCAAGAGAAATGTACATTAAAACTACTTGAAGTACAAATTGTCACCTGTTGGACTGGCAAAAATCCTAACGTTTCATAACATGCTCTGGGGGTGAAGCTGAGGGCAGAGAACACCCACACTGCTGGTGGGGTGCAAAATGGTACTCTGCTCTACTGAAGAGCAGTCCAGCACATGTACACATGAATCATTGTTGACTCAGCAGTGCCACGTTTACGAGTCTAAAGATAAAGTGGCAAAATTACAAAATACACACACACAAGGCTCTTCATTACAACACTGTGTAAAAGCAAAACCCTGAGAATAACCCAAATGTCCATCAACGGAGGACTGGTTAATCAACCACGGTATGTCCACATAATGGAGTACTATGCAGCTATAAAAAGGAATGGGCGTTATCTCTAAAGAACTATTATGGAGTGTTAAATTAAAAAGCCAAAACAATGCAGACAAACAGGGCTCTGCCGTCACCTGGAAACACTGCTGGAACAGTTAGCTAACAAGCATAGCACCTAGCACACAGCCAGTGATCAACAGATCGTATATGGATCATACTGGTTAGGAGGGGGGGCTCCTGGAGTCAGAAAGTCTCCGTTTAAATCCAGCTCCATTATTGACTACCTGTGTGACACTGAGTGGATTCCTTAACCTCTCTGTGCCTCAGCTTCCGCATCTAGAAAACTGAGATAACGGTACCACCACCAGCAACACAGGGTTGTAGTGAGGGAGAGATGTATTAATACATGTAAAGCACTCAGCAGGCTCACAGCAGGGAGTAGATAAATGTTAGTGCAAATTCAAGATTCCCAGTGGGTCAATTCCAGTGAATAAAAATATCTGGCTAGCCTTTGTCTCCTGTTCCTGGGAGGAAGCCTCTAAACCCCTGGAATTTCCCAAATGACAGTGGCAGCTTCCTTCTTCATGGTGGGCCCTGATCCTTTAGCTAACAGGTGAGTCTCTCTCGGCAGGCCCCTACAGAAGTTTATGCTAATGAGATGACAGCATGGGGAATAACCACTCCAGAAAGACCGAACACAAGTTTACAGGGCTAGGGCTTTGAATCCTGTGATAGAAACCCAGGCTCTGGGGAGGGGAGCAGGCAGTCAATCTTGCCTATATAATGAAACCCCAGTAAAAACTCTAGGTACACTGCTGAGCTTCCCCGGTTGGTAACACTCCATATATTGTCACCCTTTGATGTATCAGGAGGGTGGCAGGGTCCTGACTCCAGAGGGAGAAGACAAGGAGCTTTGTGTTAGGCAGGCCCCCCAGGCCTCACCCTATGCATCTCCCCCTTTGCCGGTTTGGACTGGATCCTTTTGCTATAATAAAACGAATTTTAAGTACAGTCGGCCCCATGTTCTGAGTCATTCCAGTAAATTAGGGAGCCTGAGGGGATTATGGGAACCCCAGGATTTGTAGCCAGTAGGTCGGAAGTGAGGATGGTCCTGGGAACCTGTGTCTACAGTGAGGCCTGTCTTCTGGAAGACTGTGCCCTTAACCTGTGAAGTCTGACTTAACTCCAGCTAACTGGTTTCAGAAGCCATTGCAGTCACTAAAGTGCCATGTGATTCCCACCCTATCCCCCATCCCAACACTTCCTCAGTATCTCAAGAAAATGAGTGACATTTTTCAGTGAGCTGAGCTAGGATCTGTGGCCCTCCAGCCCCACGGAAGACACACAGGACCTGCAGGCCCTCAGCTAGGGGATGAAAGGTGGGTGGATGCTGTGTCCCTCCCCTTGCTCCTCTGCAGGCAGGCTCAAGCACATACATGCACGTGTGTGCACACTTTACTGCCGGGCCTGGGCCAACAGGGGAGCAGGGAGTGCCGCTTTACGAAAGTGGCTGGGAGCAGATGGGTTATATATATACTGCTGACCAAAATCCTGGAGTGAGAAAGGAGTCAACAAGGGCAGGGTGGGGCAGCATCAACCAGGAACCAACTCAGTCCAAGAGGCCTGGCTCCAGGAAGTGGAGAGGGGGTGGCTGGGGGCATGGTCTCCAGCCAGCACCTTCACCTGGGACCAGCTACCTTCCAAAGCCCAGGCTGCAGCCACTATTACAGCTCTTTTTCCTGCTCCCTAAATATACAGGCAAGACATAGGCATTACCCAAGATTCTGCCTTTTCAACTCTATGCAGATGACTCTTAAATTAACACCTCTAGCCCCACAATCTGGGTTTTAGAGTCCAACTGCCTGCTGCATATCTACTGGATGACCTGCCAGTATCTCGAACTCAACATGTCTAAAAGTGAATTCATCAACATTTAGGGCCCTCATCTCCTCTTATTAAACTGATAAGAACAGATACTACACTTGATCTTAGCCAAAAGGCCGAGAAGCGATCCTCATCTCCTCTTATATTCAGGGTATCACTACCCTCCCATTTGTCTACAGCCTTGCTTTTCAAAATGTACTGGGAACTGAAGCCGCAGCATCACCTGGGAGCTTGTTAGAAACACACAAGCAGAACCTGCAGGACCGCTGTGCACATTTAAGTTTGCAAAACACTCATCTAAGACACTTCCTCCCTGCACTGATTTTGCCTTTCTCAAATCCTCACATCTCCTGCCACTGCTGTAGCCCAGGTAACCATCACTTCTTCCTAGAACTCCTGCAAGTTTTGCTGGTCTCCTAGATTCCCCATGGGAAATCTTCCTCAATTATGATGTCAAATTCATAATTTTAAACACTTTCCTCCTTAAAAACTTCTCCTGGCTCCTAGCTGCCTATTAAACCTCAAAGCTTAGTAGTCAGTAAGAAGAAACAATGTTTCACAAATGAAGGAAGCTTTTCAGCGACTGCACAATCTGGACTCCACACTAATGATCTCACACCGACAAGGGGACAGCCCTGAGGATAAAGTGGATACATGTTGGGTGGATTACATGTTAAAAATTTTGGACTGGAAAAAATTTATAAAGAACCACGGAGCATACAATCCAGCAAAAAATTTGGAATTTTATGAAAGATTTGTTATTGAAAACATGTAGGATAAAATGCACAACTGGGAAGCATTTTGGGAGGGTTGAATGCAGAATTTTGGAAGAATAAATAAATCAAAGTAAAATGATTAATATTGAAAAAATAAGAAATAACATTTATTGCATGATTATGTGCCAGGCACTCTACCAAGTTTTTTATATGTGTTAGCTCATTTAATTCGTAACAACCCTATAAGCTAAGTATTACTGTGTCTCCATTTTACAGATGGGAGAACTGAGGCATGGAGGGCTTTGGTAACTTCCCCAATATCCCACAGCTGAAGGGCAGAACTTAGAATCAAACCTAGGCAATTTCGCCCCAGAGAACACCTTCCTAACCACTGTTCCATACTGCCTCCATAACTCAGTACCTTATCGTTTAAGCCTTACCTCCTATTACTTCCCTGTGCTTCAGCCAAACTGATCTGTTTTTCTAGAAGTACAAAGTACGTTAGTACCTCCCAACCTCTGTACCTTCACCGGAAAGAGGCTGTGTACCATTATTGGAAATCATCTGGGCTTCAGAAGCAGACCTAGGTTCAAATTTTTGGCCTGACCACTAACTGCTGGTGAGACCCTAGGGAAATTGTCAAACCTCTCAGAGTCTCATCCCCTCATCTGCAAATAAAACACAGTTTAAAAATCACCTAACTGAAATAGTTGCTGTGAAGTTCAGAAAATATGCAGAGGATGTCTAACACAATCCTGGCATGCAGCAGGTACTCAATCACCGAAAGCTATTATGCTCACCTGGAGTTTCAAATCTTACCCGTCCCTTGAGGCCCTCTCAAATATAACTTCCACCATGCAGCTTGCTTCATCACCCCAAACAGAAACGATAGCATCTTCTTTTAAATTTTGTTAATATAGTTTTTAAAGATTTTATTGGGGAATTGGGGGAGGGGAACAGACAAATCGCTGTCCTTTTGTTCTTCAGTCTAGTTGTGGAGGACGTCGCTTCACTGGCCCATGTTGGTATTATCATTGCGCTCTTCCCGGCTGAGGCAGATAGGTCACTGGTCACTGGACGGCCACTCACATGGCCTCTTGGCAGCTCAGGAAAGCGCACAACAGCTGCCGGCCAGCCCCATTGCAGCCCAGCTCCACGCTGAGCTGTTGTTCACCATCTTAGCTGTAGAGGGCACAGTGTCACTGGCCCTCATGTGGCATCTGAACCCAGGCCCTGCTGCTCAGACCTGGCGTCCCAATCCAACTCCTAACCAACGCGACACTTGGCTGGCCCAATTTTGTTAATATTTTATGGGTAAATTTCTCTCATATACTGACTCATTTTAACATTGCACATTTGCCTTATCTCCACAGATTAGACTGTAAGCACCATAAGTGCACTCCCTAAAGTGTGCTCCCTAAAGAAACCACCACAGTGCATTACACATTGTCACAGCAATAAACACTGTTGAATAGAAGTGGACTGGATACTGAGTAATGAGTGACCAGAACCACTAAAATTAATTGGGGAAAGCTTCATTAAAAGAGGGGTGAGGCAGTTCAAATGAAAGACAGGAAGTAAAAACACCTAGGCACCTGTAATATGTCACACCAGGCACTACGTGTATATTAGCTCATTTGGTATCTAATTCTCTCATGAGTTACTATCCCCATTTTCCAAATGAGGAAATGCTGCATTCAGAATGATTTCCTCAAGGTCACAAATGCTCCATGAGAACTTGGAACTACTCACTCTCTGTATCCCCAGTGCCTAAGAGTGCCTGGACCACAGTGGATGCTCAATAGATATTTGATGAATGAAGAGATGAATAGAGCTAATAAGCAGAAACAGGACTAGAATCAATTTCACCTGCTTCCCAGTTCACTCCTGTTAAGTTGCCAATGTAAAACAGAGGAAAGGGGCCGGCTGAGTGGCGCTGAGTGGCGCGATGGTTAAGAGCTGGCTTGGGACGCCAGAGAGCCCTGGTTCGGATCCCACATATGAGGGCCAGTGACACTGCCCTCCACAGCTAAGATGCTGAACAACAGCTCAACCTGGAGCTGGGCTGCTGTGAGTCGCCGACGACGGCGTAGGCTGCAGCCCCTGCTGCAGCGGGTTGCCATGGGCTACCGTGTGTAGCCAGCAGCCAGCGTGAGCGGCCAGCAGCCGCAGTGAGCGGCCGTCCAGAAGCCGGCCACTGATCTGCCTTGCTCGGGAAGAGCGCAATGATAATACCAACATGGATCAGTGCCAGTGAAGCAACGTCCTCCACAACTAGACTGAAGAACAAAAAGGACAGCAACTTGTCTGTTCCCCTTCCCCCAATTCCCCAGCGCTGTTCCCATCCCCCAATTCCCCAATAAAAACTTCAAAAAAAAAGAGGAAAGGGAGGAAGGTCCAAGGCAGCCGAATAAAAATTTAAAATAATAAAAATTGAGAGCATCTGACATATAAAATAAAAATATAAAATAAGTGAAAAAAATATTCAAACAGAGGAAAGGGATGTACCATTTATCGAGCAACTGCTACATAACGAAACACACTGGGAAATAACTGCACACTTCAGGATATGTGGCAGACTGTTGAGTTAATTACACACTCCTCAGTTGATGACATTCATTGTATTCGACACTTTCCATAAATCTTGTCATTTCATCTTCCTAAAAACTCAAGCAGTTATTTTTATCTCCATTTTACAGATGAAGAAATACTCTCTATGAAATGATTTGCCCAAATTCACAAAGCAGCAGAATGGGTGATTCCAGTCCAGGTAAATTTAAGTCCAAAATCTGTGTTATTAAAAATTCTTTCCAGGTTTTGGGCTTGTACTTGCAATAGAAATCCTATCCCTTGTACAAACAGGAGCAACAGAGCATCATGAAGGGGATTGGAAGGAGCTGCGACAGGAAGAGCAGGCATTAAACCCAGCCTACCAGGGTCACTGAACAAATTAATACCGAAGTTACAACGTTGCAACCTTTCATTAACCCTAGAATGCTGATACTCCAACAAGGGCTAGGGCCCTACAGAAACAAGGATACTTAAGAAATCACCTAAACATTGGCATTTAACACAATGTAGGGAACGAGGACAAGCCGCGGTCGTATGGGAAAGGAAAATGAATGGGAGTTTCACAAGAAGGCTTAGAAGGTGCAGGGTGTTGAGGGAGTAACTCAGCGGTGAACGCCAAGAGCAGGTGCAGTATCAGAACTGGTTCTGACGTTGGGTACGGGAAGGGCCTGCCGGGAGGAAGGTGTTCGGATTCTCTCAGGTCACGGGCCCGTCACCCGACTTCCTTAAGGGACACTCTGCCCACCCTCGGTCCCTTTTGTCGCAGATTCTCAGCTCACCAGGGGTTTGGGCAATGCTGCCTCCGGATCTCCTGGAGACTCCGCCGCCTCCGCCATCTTGGCCCTCCTTCTCCGGGGTCGATCCCAGAATCCTTCGCGAAACCAGAGACGTGGAGGCCCCAACCGATTATTGCGTCAACGGGTGGAGTCTGCGTCACTGGGAGGCGCCTGGCATGGGCTGCCTGCCTTGGCCTTTTGCTGTCCCTTATCCACCTCCGGGTGTTGGGGACATGTTTCTGTCGCCTTGCCTCACGTCTTCGGGGCCAGGAGACCCGCCAGACACGCCCTCTTTAACACTCAAGGCCGATTCTCCCATCGCGCCGTGGGTCTCCGGACCGAGGCTGCGTTTCCCCTCCCCCCTTGCCCACCCCTCCCTACGCCCGGAACTCGACTTTCAGGAGTACGTGGGAGGGTGGTCCCCCAGCACAGCACCTCCGGGAGCCTGCCCCTCCTTCGCCGTAGGGAAACCTCCCTTTTCCGTGCTCCAGAATAAAGGGATCAATTTCCCCCAAACCTGCTGCTCCCGCCGCCGTCGCCCCTGCCGGGCTCAGTCCCTGCTCTTTCAATCCCGCTGCTTGGCCGCTTCACATGTCCTCGACTTCTATAAACTTATGTACAGTCTCCCCAGCGACCTCTTGAGATTACTTTTCTCCCATCACCCATTTTGAGGAGGGGGGAGCTTCTCTATAGACACTGGACAAAATTTTAATCCTGCTGCAAGTTCCAAAATTGCTAACCGAGTTGGGGCACACATTGAAAACGTTCCAAATATGTGGTGATAAGAGAACTGACTCTGGTTGGTGAACACACATAATGTGATACACAGATGATGTATTACAGAATGGTATGCCTAATATCTATGTAACTTTGCAATTGTCACCCCAATAAACTAATATAAAAAAATGTTCAAGGTCTAAAAAGAGGATAATTATTGGAAAAGCAACATAAAACCCCTGCATACCCCAACCTCTTTTCCCTCTCTCTGCAGGGGGCTTTCTGGATGTTTTTGACTCCTGGGCCCCAGGCTAAAATGGGGTCAGACAATACCTCCATTGTTCACCAAGCAGTATTCAGGACACCTGAGTGATCTTTAGGGCTATGAATCCTGTTTTCAGCTTTCAACAAACAGTAGGGAGGGGATGGGTGTGAAATAAACTATGTTATATTTTTAATAGGGAATCCAGGAAAGCACTCAAGTAGTAAATAAACTTTAGGAGAAAGAATGAACGTGGAATGTGGTGAGACAAAGTTTCTAAACTAAGGGAGTTGTTTGTGTGTGTGTGCGCACGCGTTCTCTTGTTTAAATATTCTTATAATTCTCCTTCAGACCAAGAACGTTTTTAGTACTTGTGCAAATACTAATGGAAATGATATGAAAATTTAGATCAGTAGATAGGAAACCTTTTCTTAAGTACAATAGAATATATGTACAACTCCCCAGCCCCAACCTCCCACCCCTACTCCACACCTACCAGCCCCACCCCCAACTCCCAATGCTACCCCACCCCCGTGTTGATTTCTGGCACTGACTATCGGATTACCAAGTCCCTTGCCCACTTCCCTGGGGCCATTGATAACCTCTTGTATTTCCTTGCCAACCTCCAAAATTAGTTATCTCCCCCAAACCGCAAACCCTAACTAACTTCATCTGTTGGCCTCTTTGCCACTGATTTCAGGATGGACTTGATGCTCGGTGAAGAAGACAGGCCATAAAACAATTGCTGAGGCCATCAGTGATCAGGTTACCTAGGCATTCTTTCAGACGAAAAACTCCAGTGTTCCTCATTGAACTAATAGGAAGGGTATAGGTTGGGTGTGAGATAATATGCTATGAAGAAAGAAACTCAGGATGGAAGGTTGTGGAGGAAGGGGCTGGCATAGGGACAAGCTCCTAAAGTAGGAATTATTTTGTTTTTAGTTGCAAACATATATCTCAGAACTTGCCAAATTCAGTATTCTTCAATACGCTTATAGTCGTTACCCTCTGTTAGACTATGAACATTTAAAGTACAGCTGGACTCTCATGACTCACCCTGAGTTACTTAGAAACTTTGTAAGTGGTGAAAGTGGGATTAACATTTAGGCCAATATATATGGAGAGCTTTGCTAGTTGTTCTAAATTACAGGACAATATAATGTAGAACTCTATGAAAACTGGCAAATATTGAGGAAATTGAGGAAACAGGCTGTTTCCTAGAAGAATGGTCAAACTTAATTCAAAAAGGAAGTAGGGAATTTTGGTAGGAAAAACTTAAATATATAAAAAACAAAGTACAGAACAATTTGTAGGGTATGCTACCATCTGAGCCAAAAGATAAGGAGAAGGGAATATATATATATATATATATATATATATATATATATATATATATATATATATATATATATACACACACCGGGGGTGCCAAAAAATGTATACAAGTGGACACTGGTCACCGTTGCTGAAGCAGTAGTTCGCTGTAATCAGAAGTGTCTGGATGCTGATGGTAACCACTCTGAGCCCCTCTTGTAATTGCAGATGTCAAACGTGACTTGTATTCATCTTTTGTTATTGGTATATATTGAGTATTACAATTTTAGTAGTTTTCCTTTCTTAAAATGTGTATACATTTTTTGGCACCTTCTGTATATCCATATGCTTGAATGTTCACAGACTATGTCCTAATGGCTACACAATAAACTGGTAACAATGGTTGCCTCTGGATGGGGGGATGGAAACTGAGGGACTGACAATAAGAGGTGAGAGAGACTTTTTACTGTCTTTCAATGGAGGGCTATTCAATTGTATGACTATTCATGTAGTTTGAATTTTTTACCATATACATGTGTTAATTAAAAAAAAGAAGTTGTCAGAAATGTATCCTCCCCCAAAAAGCAGGATGGTTTCACAGGCTATTCATTCAAGCCTTCGAGGAGCAGATAATTCCTATAATATATACATTTTTACAGAAACAGAAAAAAGGAAAATTTATGAATTTCTTCTAGGCACCCAGTGTAAACATGGCATCAAACCTGACAGAGTACTAAAAATCAAAACCATATACCTATCCATCTCACTTATTAATATAGGTACAAACATCTTAAACTGTTAGCAAATCAAATGGGGCAAAATAACAGTACCCCATGTTCAAGCAGTTTTTTCCAGAAATATAAAGTTTGTTCAGAAGCTGGATATGTAGTGATAAGTGATCATTTTAATGTATCAAAGAAAAAACCCCATCATTTCGATGTTTAAAATTCAACTCCTTCCTGAAAATAAATACATTAATAAAGTAGGAATACAAGGATATATTGGGGCCCAAGACTGCCCGCCCCCCAAATATCCCATGACGGCATATTGATGACTTGGAGTTGGAGTTACTTTCCAGCAGCCAATGCCAGAACGGCACCCTCACCCTCCCTTCTCTCCTCCAGCGCAGGAAATAAACCTCCCTGTGAAAGGTGTCTACCTGCACCAGGAACACCCACCTTCTTGCTAGAGGTAAACAACTCAGCCAAAAAGTCTGTATTGTCAACTCCTTTTTCTTCTTTTCTAATTTACCACCTGAATACCCAAACCTTGCTTAGATTCCTTTCCACTGAGCACTGACTTTCTTTGTCCTGTCAATTTCTCACAAAGTTATGGTCTTTTTGTCCAAAGTACATAACGAGATGCCTGGTTCAACCATTTCTTTGAGCCTCATTTTATGATCTGAGCATTGTATTGGGATTCATCCACACACAGGTATTAAATAGGGTTTTCTCCTGTTAATATAGTCTCCTGTCAAATTTATTACCTTATTAATAGTCCAGCCATAGGAACTAAAGAAGGGTTGGGGGAATTCTTCCCCTCCCCAACGGTTTTCCTGAGATGACTGCAGCCCATAGATCCTGGGTGTCTGACAATAGAGCCAGCAAACAGGGAAGCTTTTCTTACCTTGTTGCTCTCCTAAAATATCTAACTGTGGGTGCAGTAAAAAAAAAAGAAAATGATAAAAAAAAATCCCTTTCTAAATTTAGATTACCAGGAGAAAATATTTGTGGAACTAGTACCTTGGGCATAGCAATTTTGGTAAAAACTTGGTTTGAGTACTCATGTTTCTGTTGATCGTTTTCCTCCCCGAGATGGTCATTGTTTTCTTTTGTCTAGTTTCTCTGCCAGCTGGAAGATGCACCTGGCAGACAGCCAACCGAATAAGCCCTAGATCCAAGCTTAGGGAATCTAAAACTCAATTCTGTTGGGGGACGAGGAGCACATTATTCTGTGTTTTGGAACTGCTGTTTGTGTGTGTGTGTGTGTGTGTGTGTGTGTGTGTGTGTGCGTGTGTGTTGGGTTTTTTTTTAGGACAGGGCCCGTTATCTTTCTTAGGCTAACTCTGGGAGTAAATTTTCTGGACCTTGTGCTTTGGCTAAGCAATAAAACCTTATTGGTTTAAGTCGCTATTGAGATTAATTGCAGAAACTTCTAAATTGAGAAAACAAATTTAGAGAGATCTCATATTGATATAATGGCTAGCCATTAAGACTCCCTTAATACAATGGAAGGATAGAAATTAAAACAAAAAACAAAGTCCACTCAGACCACTTCCTATTTTCCTTCAGATATTTGTGGACATACAATTCAGGACATTAGAAGTACAATTACCTTGTACTTAAAGGAAGGAAATTTGAAACAGCAATTATCTCAAACTCCTAGAAGGAAAAACAATTCACATTTCTTCTCTCCCTTGAAGTTATAAATTTTACCATGTCTTTAAAATGTAAACACCTCAAGAGACAACATCCCACAATTGCCTGAGACTGAGCCCAATTAACTCAACCAGGAAAACCTGAAACCATGGAAAATAAGAAAAAGAGATATTTTTAAAAAGTGCAGACTGCTAGAAAGTCTCCCTCACTCTGAATCTAGCTGAGTTTCCTTAAAATTATTTGTCAGGGGCAAATACAAATCTTAAAAGTCTCCTTCACAAATAATAAAAAGCCTTAATTAGCCATCTCAGCAGATAAATTTAACTTACTCCAACTATTATCTACAAATTAATGAGTTTTGCATTATTCTGCCTGTTTCATGCCTAAAATTTTAAAACAAACTATCAGGTCTCCTGTTCTATCTGTCTAAATATTTGCATGTATCTATATGTGTGCCCATGTATGTATGTATATTTATATGTGGGTT